AGGGGAGGGGAGGTGGCTCCGGGGGCCGCGCTGTGTGGGGCAGGAGGGGGTAGGGGCTCTGCCGCCCCTCTGGCCCATACTCCCAGGGTAGCACAGGGAGCAGCTGCTCTGGGTGCTGAGCTCCTGCACCCATGTTGGTGAGACAGTGTCTGCCTGGGACCCCGGTGCCCAGGGCTGCTGGGAGCAGCCAGGGCTCTGAGGGAGCAGGCCCTGCGGAGCTGGCTGGCAGTGGGGGGAAGACCTAGAGGCAGCAGGGCGGGATTGGATGGGCAGGTCCCCAAGTGCCGTCTGGCTCAGTCACCTGTGCCCTGGGCTCTGCAGACGGGCAGGGGTTGAGGCTCCCTTTGCCTGGGCGTTCACAGGCCTGTGCACAGCCGCGTCTCGGTGCCCTTGCCCTGATCTGCCCATGAGGGTACCAGAGATGAGCTGGGATGCATCTGCACCCGCCTCGGCACCAGGAGCTGCGTGGGACCAGGCAGGGATCTGGGATGGCGGTTGGTCCACGATGCTGCACTGGGCATGCATCGGGCAGAGGGATCGCATGGCCACACTCCTCGGCATCGTAGCCCCCCCACAGCCCGCCTGTGCATGTGCACACACACATATGCGCATCTGCCTTGGCCCATGTGTGCAGAGGCGAGCAGGGAAGGACCTACCTTCATCCGTCACTGGCGCAAGGCTTGAAGCAGGAGGAAGGAGGCTGAGCAGGATCCCCACCAAGAAGGATTGGGACCATGCTGGGAGCAGTGGTGCTGCCATCCTGCAGCAGGAGGCATTTGGGGCCAGGCCAGTGGCAGCTCCTGGGCAGAGCTGGGAGGGCTCTCGGTGCGTGGGGTCTCCCTGCAGCTCTGGGGCTCTCGGTGCCCTGGGTCCCTGCAGCCTGGGGAGCTCTGGTCCCGACCCGTGGCCGGCGCCTGGAGCTCTGAGTGTCTGGGCCTTTATCTCAGCAGCGCCAGCCTCTGCGCTCAGGAAGTCATGCAAAAGGCCCCTCCATGCCACCCCCTCCACTTCCCCATCCCCATCCCCAGCCCACCGCTGTGGCTTCTTTGCTGCTGGTGGAGACCGCGCCAGGCAGTGGCTGGCCCCATCAGATAGGCGGCACGTCCTCCCTGTGGCTGTGGGGCCTGGAACCGGAGGAAAACAGGCCCAGCCACGGCCCCATGAGCAGGGGGAGGCAAGGACGACGTCTGCTGCCTGAAGACCCTGGGGTGGCCGCAGCATACGTGGGCCTGGGAGGGAGCAGTGGCGACGGGCCAGGTGCCACAGGGCTTTGGTCTGCCAAGTGGACAGTGCTGCCCAGAGACCCCGAGTATGTGGTGGCCCGGGGCCCTGGCCCCCCTCAGGAGGAGAGCTGCCACCTGAGATGGGCAAAACTTCCACGTATCCATCATAGGCCCCCCCCCGCCGGCAAAAATGAAGATCGGCGCCTACGGTGTCGCCCACTCCAGCACCCTGCACGCACCGTGGCTTGGTGGGCCGGCGCCAGCGCCGCTGCCTGAGGGCATGGGCTCAGGCTGGGAGCTGCCGTCTAGCCCAGGGACCCGCAGCGAGCGCAGGGACCTCCCTGCCTGGCCAGGACGTGTCCCGACTGCAACATGGGGAGACTCCCAGAACTAGAGGGACGGCTTGAGCCATGCCTGGCTCTGGCCTGGGCTGAGCCTTACCCAGGCATGCAGCGGCGGTGCCCAGGGTGCCTGTGCAGAGGCAGGATGCTGCTGTCCTCCCATGTGGCCATCAGCAGGCCTGGGGTGTCGCATGCAGGCCTGGACCAGGCAAGGGCCGTGCTCCCAGCAAGGCCAACGCGCCTTTCCCTGCAGGGCAAGAGCACCGGGACAAGCCGGGCAGGGCCCTGCCCCTTCCCGACCCCCAGGCCCCCAACGCCTTGCCCATGCCCTATGCCTGGTTCCCGAGGCAGCCAGTCCCATGCATTGTGTTTATTGGACATGAAGCAGATGCTGCGACAGCCGGGCTCACCGGTGGTGGGGCAGTACGTGGCTGTGCCGAGGCAGTCCTGCTCCCTGTCTGCGCACCGGGGGAGCACATGGGCACCAAGCCCTGCAGAAGATCATGCCCGTCTCCGTCCCTGATGCCCAGCAGTGAGTCCAGGCCCACAGGGTCAGTCTGCAAGCTGGCCGGGGTGAGCAGTCACAGAGAAAATGCCGGGCCCGGGGCTCTGCTCTTCCCGAGCTTGTGTGTCTGCCTCACGGGGCACCAGGATGCCCTTCCCAGGCTTCGGAGGGGGAAGCAGTGTCTGCCGGCTCCAAGGACAGGGGCTCTCGGAGCCCACAGTTCTCTGCCCCACCGGGCTATGGCAAAGTCCCATGGGGCAGGGCAGGAGACAGGCAGCACTGCCCACTGGCTACCTGGGAGCTCTTTGGCTGGCCCCCGCTCCGACCTGCAGCAGCTGGGGAGCAGATGCGCCATGGGCAATGGTGCAAGTCCTGCTGGGTGCTGTGGCCAGGGGGCTGAGGTGCAGCCCTGCTGCGCCGGTGCTGCTAGCCAGGAGGTGTGTGCAGGCAGTGGCGCCGGAACAGGCCAGTTTCCTGTGTCCCTGCGGGGCCAGGCTGTCGTGCCCTGAGCCCTGTGTCCCGTGCCAGCCGGTGTGTGGCACTTCCAGGAGGGCTGGGCAGGTGCGGCGTGGCTCAGGCCTCCTCCGCTGTGGCGTCGATCCCCGCATACGTGAAGTTCTCAAACAAGGACATGTTCACATAAGCCTGGAGGGGAGACAGGGTCAGCTCCGGGCTGCGAGAGACACTGAACCCCACCAGCAGCCGGGAACCCCTGCCCGCACCCCCGGGTGCCTGGACTTGGATGTGGGAGGTGGCGAGCGCTGCCTGTGCGACCGTGCTGAGCGCCAATGCAAGTGGACCAAGGCCACGCCTGGGGTCGCACCCCCTTCCCCCGGCCTGAGCCAGGGCCCCGGGCGGAGGCCTGCTCTGCTGGGGGCTGTTGCTGCTGCCCAAGAGACGGCAGCAAGCTCCTGCTGCCCTCACCCCACAGAGCCCCGACAGCCTGGGCTTACAGGGTCCTTCTTGCCAGCACCCTGGGCAGGGGCAGGGGCAGGGGCAGGGGCAGGGCTGCCCTTGCAGCGGCCCCAGAGCTCACTCAGCCCAGCTGCAGCGTCCTGCCGCCAAGCCTGAGGTCAGCTGGGCTTCCAGTTCCGGCAGGAGCATGGGGGGTGGGCCGAGGGCATTTCTGCAGGTACCTTCCTGGCCTCCAGCATGCGGATGAGCTGCAGCGAGATCTGGGCGAAGGGCGGGCGCTCGTAGGGACGGTCTCTCCAGCACTGCCGCATCAGCTCATACCTGCAGGCAGCACACAGGGTCACAGCTGGAGGGCATGGGGTGGGGGAGGGGGGAGGGCTACATGGGGAGAGCTGGGACACTGGGGATGGGCAGGGGCACTGACAGGGCTGGGGCACTCCATAGTGCCAGGGGGCCGTGGCAGGGTGGGTGCCAGCAGCTCTCCCTCCCATGGCTTTGGCCAGGGGTATTGTGGCAGCCCAGGCCACCAGGACCAGACAGGCAGGTAAGCATGGAAAGCCATGCAGTGTGGCCTGGCCCTGCCCTGTCTCAGTGTCACCCAGCATCGCAGTGCCACACAGCACGGCCTGGTCTTGCCCCCATCCTGGTGCCATGCAGCATGGCCTGGTCCCAGCCACGGCGCGGGTGCCATGCAGCATGGCCTATTCCTGCCCCATCCTGGTGCCACACAGTGCAGTCGTCAGGGCCGTGAGCACCTGGAGGGGGCGAGGCTGCCAGCACGGAGCCGGAGGATGGGGCAGCTCCTGCCTGCCCCCCCCCCGGGCCGCGGCACTTACACCTCGTCGTCACAGTTGCGTGGCTTCTCCATGCGGTATCCCTGTGGCAGCTTCTCGTAGAGCTCGGCGCATGTCATCCCACAGTACGGCGTCCCCCCTGCGCAGCGCCAACCACCATCAGGCCCGCACCAGCCCAACCTGCCTCCACCCCCAGTCCCTGCTGATGCTTTGGGCCATGGCCAAGGCCGGGCCAGCCACTGCCCCCCATGGGCCTGGCCAGGGGTCCTGTTCCAGGGTAGGCAAGTCCCTGCCCAGCAGCTCCCTGCTGCCCCCCTGCCCCAGGTGACCACATTTCCCTCCCCAGGACAAGGCCTGAGGCAAGAACTTCCCCCTTGGGGGAGGGAGTTGTGGGGAGCAGATATGCAGAGACACCCTGGGGCTGGTTGGGGAGCAAGCATGCAGAGACCCCCCCGGGGCTGGAACTGGTATGGGGCAGGCATGCGGGGACCCCCCCTAGGGCTGGGATCCCAGATGAGGAGCACGGGATGACTGTGGGGCTGAGCCCAGGTGGGCACCTACCCAGGCTGACGATCTCCCACAGCAGGACCCCGAAGGACCACCTGAAGGAGAAGCAGACGGTGGGCACCAGTGCAGGGGTGCCGGCAGGGCCAGCCCCACAGCCTGGTCATGGCCTGGCAGCACCGATAGCTGTGCTAGGGTAGGGCCTGGACACAGAGCAGGTGCATGCTGTGGGACCAGGGGCACTGGAACTGAGATGGCCACTGGGAGCAGGGGCACTGGGACTGGGGCAGTCACTGGGAGCAGGGGTGTTGGAACGTGGACACTGGAATTAGGACGGCCGTTGGGAGCAGAGGCACTGGGAGGGCCACTGGGAGCAGGGGCACTGGGACTGGGATGGCTGCTGGGAGCAGGACTAGGATGGCCACTGGGAGCAGGGGCGCTGGGACTGGGATGGCTGCTGGGAGCAGGACTAGGATGGCCACTGGGAGCAGGGGTCAAGTTTGTCAGGGCCAGGGCTGGGTTTCTTGGGATGGCTGAGTGACGCCCAGCACAGCAGGTCCCATCGCAGCACACTCGACAGTGGGAGAATGGAAGCCACTGCGGGCCCGAGCCCAGGGAGCTCGGGGCTGGGGGTGCTGGACGGAGGCGGCACGAGGGCTGGGAACAGGAGCTGGGAAAGTCTGGGGGCAGGACTGCTTTTGCTTCAGGAGGGATCGGAGGTGGGGGTTAACCCCATAAAGCGACTCCCCCGGTCCTGCAGCTTGGCGGGGGCAGTGCCGAGGAACTGTGACGCGGCACTGAGGGCTCCTGGCATCACTGGGGCAGTTGTGGGGATCCGGGGCACAGCCACGGGGGCATCACTCACACATCACTCTTGGTGGTGTAGACACTGTAGTTCAGGGACTCGATGGCCATCCAGCGGACGGGCAGGCGGCCCTGGGGACACACACATGGTGACACTGGGGGGCACAGGAAAAAGGCACCCACCCTCCGCGAGAGGGGCGGAAGGGTTCATGCTTCGGGCACAGGCAGCTGCAGGCCTGCCCAGTGCACTGAGGACATGCCTGCCCTGCGCTCACCATTGTCTTCTTCACATAGACCTCCTCCCCTCGGGACAGGCCGAAGTCCGCGATCTTGGAGGCCAGGTTCTCTCCCACCAGGACGTTCCTGGCCGCCAGGTCCCTGTGAATGAACTGAGACGGAGCCCGAGTAAGCCACACCTGGGGCCACAGCAGCCCTCAGCCATGGCACTGCGTGCCCCTCCCTGCCCTGGGCCAGGCCTCGCATGCACCCAGACCCTGGTGCACAGCTGGGCCCAGCAGGACTCTCCTCCTGTCCCAGCCCTGCAGCAGCTCCTCCAGGGGTGGCGATGCGGCTGGACCCCGCAGCTGCACTGGCTTTGCCAGCACTGCACTGCACTATATTGCACTGGCTTCCCAGAGTGGGGGGAACAGGCTCAGGGGGCTCACAGAGTCATAGGGTCCCAGGGCCGAGGGGCTGGCAGGGGCCTGTGGGGTCATGTCTAGTCCCAGCCCTGCCTGAGGCAGGATCAGCCCTGTCCAAACCAGCCTGGACAAACCCGTGTCCAACCTCTGAGGAACATGACACAGTCACCCTGATACAGCCCCAGGCATCGCCCCTGCCTCTGTCCCTGGGAAAGTAGGGAGGCCGTGGCTGCCAATGTCCTGCTGCTGTTAAAGTTGTCAATATGAGCTGAAGAGATTTTGGGTAGAAGCTATGCCGCTGCTGCAGAGGAGGGCCAAACCCCCCCCAGTCCGGACCAGTCTGACCAGGGGGGAAATCCCTTCCTGTCCCAGTGCAGCGTGGGGCTGAGCCTGAGCGCAGGGGCGAGACCCTGCAGCCAGGACCCTGCGGGTCAGTGCAGCAGGAGCACTGGCCCAGCCCAGCCCCATCCCCATCCCGGGCTGCGGCAGCCCCCAGCACCTCTGGAGGAGGCTTAAAACCCCAACACACGGAGCAGAAAGGGGGAAGCCAGCAGTAAGGCAACCGGCACAGCCCAGAAACCTGAGAAATCCCCTCGGCAGAGCACAGGCATCACTGCGCCCGATAATCCCCACCCAGGGGCTATCCAGCCTTTCCTGGACCCGCTCCAGTGCTGGGGAGTCCACAGCCGCCCTAGGCAAACCAAACCCTGCTGCCTTCTTTGCGGCCCTGACCGGCCCGTCTCTGCAGGTGCTGCGGAGGCGCTGCGGATCAGGGCTGTCCTCTGGGTACTCCCACAGCCTCAGGCACCCTGGCACCAGCTCCCTCTTCCAGTGGCCATGCTGCCTCGCCTCGTTGGCCTGGGCACTGGGCAGGACACTGGCTGCTCCTGGGAGCGAGGCTGGGGCAGCAGCAAGGAGCTGGGACTGGAGGGCTCAAGCCTCCAGCAGCTGCACTGCGGGGGGCCAGGCCGAGGGAAACAAAGCCTGTCTGGGCGCCGGCCAGCGCCATCCCCTCAGCGCTGAGGAGCCATGGGGCTGTGGAGTCTGGGGCAGCAGGCCACGTCGCGACCTCTCCCCAGAGGCAAGCTGTGCCAGGCTATGGTGCCAGGGGCCAGGGTCTGCGGGGGACACGGTTGTGACACGGCCGCTGGCCCCAGCATGGCCCAGTGCCTCGGCAGCAGCGGGCAAGGAGAGCAGGGCAGGGCCGCACCTGCTTCTCGCTCAGGTACTGCATCCCCTTGGCCACGTCGGAGGCAAACTGCAGAAGCTGCTGGGAGGTGAGCGTGGAGGCTGTGCCATGCTCCTTGGCGAAGGCCGGGTCAGTCTCCAGCACGCGGCTCTTCCGCAGGAAGTCCAGCAGGTTCCCATACGGGGCGTACTCGATGGCGATGTACAGGTAGCCTGGGGGGGGGTGCTGTTAGTGTCAGGGGGCCGGGCCCCAGCAGGGAAGGGGCCAGTAGGATGAGGTTTAATAGGAAGGGCCCCAGGCAGGGCACGGGGTGGAAGCAGAGGGAAGAAGTGGCCCCGGGCAGGCCAGGGTGCAGGAGGCAGGGGCAGGACTTGCCCTGGCAGGGCAGGGGTCCCGTCCCGGCAGCACCCACCTCTGTTCTCGCAGGCACCCAGCAGGTTGATGATGTTGGGGTGGTGCCCCAGCTTGCACAGCACCTCCAGCTCCCCTGCGAAGTCCCGGTGGTCGTTCTCCGACGCAAACTCTGCGCCAACAGCAGCGGCTGCAGGAGCAGGATACGCGGCCGGACAGGCCCCTGCCCCCCCCCACCGCCACAACCTGGCCCTGCGTCCCCTTGGCCTGGAGATGTGGGCTCTGTGCAAGGCGGCGGGGAAAGCCAGGCAGCCGCAAAGCCCCCAGGGGTCTCCCAGCCTGCGTCCCCAGCACCTCCAGTGCAGCCCCTGCCCCTGCCCCTGCCCCTGCCCCTGTGCAGGGCTGTGGGGTGCAGCCTGGGCGCTGTGTGGAGCAGGCGTAGCCCCACGTGGCTCAGCCATTGGGAAGGTCTCAGTGGCCCCTGTGGCCGGAAGGTCAGCTCCAAGCTGCCCGGTCTGTACAGCACGGCCCGTGCTGGCCCCCACTGCCCACCCCAGCGGGCATGGCCCCATCACAGCCCCTGGCCCCACCTTTCAGCATCTTGATGGCAGCATTCATCTTCAGCCCATCCTTCTTGATCATGGCGCGGATGACCTGGCCGAAGTTGCCCTCCCCGATCATGTCCTCGAAGGTGATGTCCTCCCACTCCAGGATGGGGTAGCTCAGGGGCTCGGGCTGTGGCTTCGGCCGCCGCGTCAACGTCAGCGTGCCCGAGTTGAACTGCAGGATGGTCTCTTCCCCCTGCCAGGCGAGGGGGTAGGGGTCAGCAGACTCTGCTGCTGCCCCCAGGGTCCCCCCACGCCTGCTGCATGCAGAGAGGAGGCTGGGGCACCCCAAAGTCACAGGCTACAACCTGGACCGGGGGCTGCTCGGAGCCAAGGGCACTCACTGAGCCCGACTGGTAGGTGAAGGTGCGGCGGCGGTGGAAGAAGTTCTTGATGAGGAAGAGGGAGAGGAGGCCGAGGAGGATGGTGATGCAGGTGACGGACACAGAGCCCACGATGGCCAGGAGCAGCTGCTGGTCAATGCCCGAGGGCTGCATGCCCTGGCTCTCCAAGCTGGGCACTGGGCTCAGGTCACCTGTAGGGACCGGGCCCGGATCATGGCTCTACTCCTGCCATCCTGCCCACCCCTCGCCCCGTGCCCTGGGAGGAGCCCCCCTTCCTGCCCCGGCTGCAGCTGGGCCCAGACCCCTCAGAGCCACATGCGGGGGGTGGAGGATGTGTGGTCCCAGTTGCGCTCATGCCAAACCGGCAGAGCTAATGGTACATGATTTTGGCCAGCCACCACCATCCTTCCCACCCCTCAGCTGCCCCTAGGACATGGGCAGGTCCACGTCCCCCTTCCCTCTGCCT